CATGTGACAGTCACTGTACATATGTGAGTATCTGCCTTGATGTGATCATCACTGTACATATGTGAGTATCAAGTCTATATGGGAGCATAACTGTACATATGTGAGTATCTGTCTTGATGTGACCATCACTGTACATATGTGAGCATCAAGTCTATATGGGAGCATCACTGTACATATGTGAGTATCTGTCTTGGTTTCGACCATCACTGTACATATGTGAGTATCAAGTCTATATTGGAGGATCACTGTACATATGTGAGTATCTGTTTTGATGTGACCATCACTGTACATATGTGAGTATCAGTCTACATGTGACCATCACTGTACATAATGTAAGTATCTGTCTACGTGTGACCATCACTGTACATATGTGAGTATCTGTCTTGATGTGATCATCACTGTACATATGTGAGTATCTGTCTGCATGTGACCATCACTGTACATATGTGAGTATCTGTCTTGATGTGATCATCACTGTACATATGTGAGTATCTGTCTGCATGTGACCATCGCTGTACATATGTGAGTATCTGTCTTGATGTGACCATCACTGTACATATGTGAGTATCAAGTCTATATGGGAGCATAACTGTACATATGTGAGTATCTGTCTACATGTGACCATCACTGTACATATGTGAGTATCAAGTCTATATGGGAGCATAACTGTACATATGTGAGTATCTGTCTACATGTGACCATCACTGTACATATGTCAGTATCTGTCTTGATGTGATCATCACTGTACATATGTGAGTATCAAGTCTATATGGGAGCATCAATGTACATATGTGAGTATCTGTCTTGATGTGACCGTCACTGTACATATGTGAGCATCAAGTCTACATGTGACCATCACTGTACATATGTGAGTATCTGTCTTGATGTGACCATCACTGTACATATGTGAGTATCAAGTCTTTATGGGAGCATCACTGTACATATGTGAGTATCTGTCTTGATGTGACCATCACTGTACATATGTGAGTATCAAGTCTATATTGGAGCATCACTGTACATATGTGAGTATCTGTTTTGATGTGACCATCACTGTACATATGTGAGTATCAAGTCTACATGTGACCATCACTGTACATAAGTAAGTATCTGTCTACATGTGACCATCACTGTACATATGTGAGTATCTGTCTTGATGTGATCATCACTGTACATATGTGAGTATCTGTCTACATGTGACCATCACTGTACATATGTGAGTATCTGTCTTGATGTGACCATCACTGTACATATGTGAGTATCAAGTCTATATGGGAGCATAACTGTACACATGTGAGTATCTGTCTTGATGTGAGCATCACTGTACATATGTGAGTATCTGTCTACATATGAGCATCACTGTACATATGTGAGTACCTGTCTACATGTGACCATCACTGTACATATGTGAGTATCAGTCTACATGAGACCATCACTGTACATATGTGAGTATCAGTCTACATGTGACCATCACTGTACATATGTGAGTAGCAGTCGACATGTGACCATCACTGTACATATGTGAATATCTGTCTACATGTGAACAAATCTGAACATATGTGAGTATCAGTCCACATGTGACCATCGCTGTACCTATGTGAGTATCTGTCTAGATGTGAACAAAACTGTACATATGTGAGTATTTGTCTACATGTGACCATCACTGTACATATGTGAGTATCGGTCTATGTGTGATCGTCAGTTCCATATGTGAGTATCTGTCTACATTTTACCATGGCTGTATATATGTGAGTGTCAGTCTACATGTGAGCATCACTGTACATATGTGAGTATCTGTCTACATGTGAGCATCAATGTACATATGTGAGTATCTGTCTTGATGTGATCATCACTGTACATATGTGTGTATCAAGTCTATCTGGGAGCATCACTGTACATATGTGAGTATCTGTCTTGATGTGACCATCACTGTACATATGTGAGTATCAAGTCTACATGTGACCATCACTGTACATATGTGAGTATCAAGTCTACATGTGACCATCACTGTACATATGTGAGTATCTGTCTTGATGTGACCATCACTGTACATATGTGAGTATCAAGTCTATATGGGAGCATCACTGTACATATGTGAGTATCTGTCTTGATGTGACCATCACTGTACATATGTGAGTATCAAGTTTATATGGGAGCATCACTGTACATATGTGAGTATCTGTCTTGATGTGACCATCACTGTACATATGTGAGTATCAAGTCTACATGTGACCATCACTGTACATATGTGAGTATCTGTCTACATGTGACCATCACTGTACATATGTGAGTATCAAGTCTATATGAGAGCATCACTGTACATATGTGAGTATCTGTCTACATGTGACCATCACTGTAGATATGTGAGTATCTGTCTTGAGATGATCATCACTGTACATATGTGAGTATCAAGTCTACATGGGAGCATCACTGTACATATGTGAGTATCTGTCTTGATGTGACCATCACTGTACATATGTGAGTATCAAGTCTACATGTGACCATCACTGTACATATGTGAGTATCTGTCTACATGTGACCATCGCTGTACATATGTGAGTATCTGTCTACATGTGACCATCACTGTACATATGTGAGTATCTGTCTACATGTGACCATCTCTGTACACATGTGAGTATCTGCCTACATGTGACCATCACTGTACATATGTGAGTATCTGTCTGCATGTGACCATCACTCTACATATGTGAGTATCAAGTCTACATGTGACCATCACTGTACATATGTGAGTATCTGTCTACATGTGACCATCACTGTACACATGTCAGTATCAGTCTACATTTGACCATCACTGTACATATGTGAGCATCGGTCCATGTGTGAGCATCACTGTACATATGTGAGTATCAGTCTACATGTGAGTATCACTGTACATATGTGAGTATCTGTCTACATGTGACCATCACTGTACATATGTGAGTATCAGTCTACATGTGACCATCGCTGTACATATGTGAGTATCTGTCTTGATGTGACCATCACTGTACATATGTGAGTATCAGTCTACATGAGACCATCGCTGTACATATGTGAGTATCAGTCTACATGTGACCATCACTGTACATATGTGAGTAGTAGTCCACATGTGACCATCACTGTACATATGTATCAGTCTACATGTGAGCATCACTATACATATGTGAATATCTGTCTACATGTGACCATCACTGTACATATGTGAGAAGAAGTCTACATGTGACCATCGCTGTACATATGTGAGTATCAATCTACATGTTACCATCACTGTGTATATGTCAGTATCAGTCTACATGTAAATATCACTGTACATATGTGAGTATCAGTTTACATGTGGGCATCACTGTACATATGTGAGTGTAAGTCCACATGTGAGCATGACAGTACATATGTGAGTATCAATCTATATTTGAGCATCACAGTACATATGTGAGTATCAGTCTATATGTGAGCATCACTGTACATATGTGAGTATCAGTCTACATGTGAGCATCAGTGTACATATGTGAATACCAGTCTACATGTAACCATCACTGTATATATGTGAGTATCAGTCTACATGTAAATATCACTGTACATATGTGAGTATCAGTCTACATGTGAGCATCACAGTACATATGTGAGTATCAGTCTATATGTGAGCATCACTGTAAATATGTGAGTATCAGTCTACATGTGAGCATCACTGTACATATGTGAGTATCAGTCCATGTGTGACCATCACTGTACATATGTGAGTATCAGTCTACATGTGAGCATCACTGTACATATGTGAGTATCAGTCCACATGTAACCATCACTGTACATATGTGAGTATCAGTCTACATGTGACCATCACTATACATGTGTATCAGTCTACATGTGACCATCACTGTACATATGTGAGTATCTGTCTGCATGTGACCATCACTATACATATGTATCAGTCTACAGGTGACGATCACTATACATATGTGAGTATCTTTCTACATATGAGCATCACTGTACATATGTGAGTATCTGTCTACATGTGACCATCACTGTACATATGTGAGTAGCAGCCCACATGTGAGCATCACTGTACATATGTGACTAAGTATCAGTCCACGTGGGTATGTATCATTGTACGTGTTTCTGTTTGAAAGTCCACATAGAACATCTTTGTACATATGTCAGTCCTAATTTATGCATCATTGTACATATGTCATCCTAATGTACGCATCATTGTATATATGTCAGTCCTAATGTTTGCATCATTGTACATATGTCAGTCCTAATGTATGCATCATTGTACATATGTCAGTCCTACTGTATGCATCATTGCACATATGTCAGTCCTAATGTATGCATAATTGTACATATATAAGTCCTAATGTATGCATCATTGTACATATGTCAGTCCTAATGTATGCATCATTGTACATATGTCAGTCCTAATGTATGCATCATTGTACATATGTCAGTCCTATGTATGCATTGTTGTACATGTTTCTGTTTATGAGTACAGGTGCGTGTGTCATTGGACATATTTGAGTATCAGTCCACATATGTATGTATCACTGTACAATATTCTCCATATGAGTACAATTGGTGGTATCATTGTACATATATACAGTTGCTAACTGCTGGACCAAGTCAGCAACACGCCAAATAATGACAGCGAGATACCCACGGCCTGGTGGTATTCTCAGAGATTTCACAGGGGAAAATATCGTTTTTACACTCGGTTTTGCTCTCAATTTGATAACAAACAGCGATGTACAACGAAAGTACTTATCTGTATTATAATCTCTGCAAGTGTTTACGTGTTATCTGGGTGCACACTTTTACCGATGCTGTTGGCCCACATGGTATCTGCATCACACCGCATGCACATTACTCGCGATCAAGGGAGCCATTTTTAGCTGCATGCTTTCATGTACAAATGACATACTATCCGCTGGATACATTCGTTGAAACCCCTGACCTTATCACGGCACTTAACATATTTCATAAACATAATGTCGGCCTATAGAGGCAGTACCTACCTAGCGGAATCCTCCTTGTAACAAATCCGTTGTTGGCAGGCTGCACTAGAGAGTGGCGATATACATGGTGAGTCGACGGAAGTGCATATACTGGTCTGAGGGGGAAGTTAGGGGTTGGGGGTAGGGGGAGGGTGATGCAGAGGAGGCGTCGATCGGTGCATCTTGATCCAGTGTGAAGGGAGAGGGGTTAGTGGAGGTGCGCTTTATTCTGGTTTCTGGCGGATTTGGTATCCAATAATTTCATAGATACGTACTTGCGTGAGGATCATAGATCATAATTAAACGTGTACTGAAAGTATGTGGGGAAAATGTATTTGTTTTATCCCTATGCCTTTCAAAACCAAACAACATATAGTTCCGTTTGTGTATGGAACTGTTGTGAATAGGAATATATTGGTAAATAGCTAGATCTATATATGCAAAGGCAGGTAGGTAGGTGGGTGGGGAGGGAGGGAGAGACGGAGAGATATAGGTAGAGATGGATGGATGGATCGATGGATGCACGGACGATGGAAGTAAAAGCGTGCTATACAGTCCTCGGGTGGATAAACAGGATAATATTCAAATTGAGAATAAATAAATAAATAAATAAATAAATAAATAAATAAATAAATAAATAAATAAATAACAGCTTAAGGCAGCTGCAGATGAAGGAACGATGTGACCTTGATATGTTCAGATCATTGGCAGTGGAACTGATATGGTATCATATTGGGACAGTGTGTTCTTCATTCCCCAGCAATGCCCGTGTAACGGGAGAACCATTCTGCTTGTGTCTATTAACCATATCTCCGTTTTATGTAGGTCTTTGTTCGCGTCAGCTTAGCATCATTCCAGAGCGAGGGTTACCCGCATCCACAGAAGCAGACAATATGTCATCCACCTACACATTATCTGTTTACTGATGGAGGATGTGTTGCCGGACGGATGGATGGTCGGATGGATGGTCAGACTGATAGATGGATGGATGATCGGATGGATGGTCGATGGATGGATGGATGGATGGTCGGATGGATGGTCGATGGATGGATGAATGGTGGTCGGGGGATAGATGGTCGATGGATGGATGGATGGTCAGATGGATGGATGTCAGATGGATGGATGGTTGGATGGTCGAATGGATGGATGGATGGATGGATGGATGGATGGATGGATGGATGGATGGAAGGATGGATGGATGGATGGTCAGATGGATGGATGGTCAGATGGATGGTCAGATGGATGGTCAGATGGATGGATGGATCATGGATGGATGGATGGATGGATGGATGGATGGATGGATGGGATGGATGGATGGATGGATGGATGGAGGATGGATGGATGGATGGATGGATGGATGGATGGTCAGATGGATGGATGGTCAGATGGATGGATGGATGGATGATGGATGGTCGGATGGATTGATGGTAGGCGGGTGGATGGATGGTCGGATGGATGGTCAGATGAATGGTCAGAAGGACGGATGGATGGTCAGATGGATGGATGGATGGTTGGATGAATAGTAGGATGGATTGATGGATGGTCGGATGGATGGATGATGGATGGATGGATGTGGTCGGGTGGATGGATGGATGGTCGTCTGGTCGGATGGATGGTCAGATGATGGATGGTTAGTCGGATGGATGGATGGTCGGGTGGATGGTGGGATGGATGGTCAGATGAAGGGTCGGATGGATGGTCAGATGGATGGATGGTCGGATGGATTGATGTGGTCGGGTGGATGGATGGATGGTCGATGGATGGATGGATGGATGGATGGTCAGATGGATGGATGGATGGATGGATGGATGGATGGATGGATGGATGGATGGATGGATGGATGGATGGTCGGATGGATGGATGGATGGTCGGATGGATGGATGGACGGACGGGCGGACAGACAGACGGGCGGGGGGACGGTCGGACACTTTGAACGGGTTTTGTCCATAGAGAGTTGCAATAATTAGACATATTTTTTCTCGAATATTCAAGCTATGATCTTTCACGCTATAAACAATCGTCGTGAAAGCTACTCTGAGTATTAAGGAAATGTAAGACAAATTTAGCTGATTGGAAAAAATGCTTTGAATCAAAAGGAGGCGAAATGTCATTCATACTCCTTAGCTTAATTTGGTCCAGTACGAATAACATACAGCACAGCATAATATAATCTAGAATGATTTATATCTTTGACAATGTTATTGACATATTATTGATTAAATATTGTTATACCACAAGCACAACTATATATCAAAAGCGAAATAAATTGTTAACGGACAGGGTGTTTTCGGGGGAGGATGGGGGAAAATGAAAACACGATAGCAAGCAAGTACTGTATGCTTTTACTAACCTTGTACTCGATGAACAAAATCCCGTTCTCGCTGTGTGTCATTATTACAGTTTGAACGACATGCGTATGGCGATAACATGTGGAGAATGGAATGTGCGTAAGGAGTATAGCTATTCCCGCATACCGCTACCTCCCCGCCAACTATATATAGACACTCGACTTCTGGGGATTCATTGTGAATGCTGTTGAATCCCATTGTAAAGTTTGCTTGTTTTGATTATTCTTACTATGTGCAGGTACTTCTTACATAGTGGGGGCGGTGGGGTAGCCTAGTGGTTAAAGCGTTGGCTCGTCACGCCGAAGGCCCGGGTTCGATTCCCCACATGGGCACAATGTGTTAAGCCCATTTCTGGTGTCCCCCGCCGTGATATTGCTGGAATATTGCTAAAAGCGGCGTAAAACTAAACTCAGTCAATCAGTCTTACATAGTGACGTGGTTATCGAACTTATTCAAGAATCATTGTTAGCGTTAATTTGTATTGATTAACACTGTCGATCTCATAATCTGACATAATTTCGGAGCAGAAACAGGAGTAAGAGTCATTGTATGTTTCTATTGTAATTCTGTTGCGTTGAGATCCGGGTTAGAATTGGTCTTCAGCAGCTCATTCTTGTCGTAAGAGGCGACTAACGGGATCAGGTGGTCAGGATTGCTGACTTGGATGGCACATGTCAACGTATCCCAACTGCGTAGATCATTCTACTTATCACTTGATTGTCTGGTTCAGACTCGATTATTTACCCACCGCCTCCATATAGCTGGAATATCGCTGAGTGCGGCGTAAAGCCAACACTATACCAGCAGTATGTTTCCGTCAGGTTGGACACGGATTCGTTGCGTCATACGGTCTGGGGTGCGGGAATTATGCAATCACTGGGAGAAACGGAATCCGACAGGGGGATTCCCTAAGTGACGTCATCACAGAAGTATTTCCCAAATATCTGTAGAACAGCCAACATAATCATTGATAGATATAACGTAGTGGATGTGGTAGGCGCATTGGCTGGAGTGTGTGTTGGTACGATGAGTGAGTGAGCTTAGTTTTACGCCGCACTCAGAAATATTCCAGCTATATGGCAGCGGTCTGTACATAATCGGGTCTGGACCAGACAATCCAGTGATCAACAGCATGAGCATCGACCTGCGCAATTGGGAACCGATGACATGTGTCAACCAAGTCAGCGAGCCTGACCACCAGATCCCTTTGGTCGCCTCTTACGACAAGCATGGGTTACTGAAAACCAATTCCAGCCCGGATCTTCACGGGTTGTTGGTACGATGAAGGATTTGAAGAGTAGACTATATTAGTCTGTGTACCTCTCAGACAAGATGGTGTTAAATGGCGGAGTCAGAGATCGGCGTTTTTGGAGTAAAATGCTGCAAATTCCAAGAGGCAACCGGACCGAGGTAAATACTTCTAAATACACGTGTTAATCAATACTCGTTATATCCTCTATAGATGAATCTATGCACCTGTTTCCAGATGGCTTTATTTGTGATTGGAAATTCTCAAGCACCCCACGGTGTGCTTGCTCTCCCCACCCTGAATAGCTTCAAATGTCTTCTTGGAAATGTACAAGAAAGACAGAATTTTATTCGTGCGAACTTGCCTTTCGACAACAATCAGTCACATTCTCCTGTGGTCTATGTCGAGTGAGGGGCGGTGGGGTAGCCTTGTGGTGAAAACTTTCGCTCGTCACGCCGAAGACCCGGGTACAATGTGTTAGGCCACTTCTGATGTCCCCCGCTGTGATATTGCTGGAATATTGCTTAAAGCGGCGTAAAACTATGCTCACAACTTATTCCAGCTATAAGTCAGCGAGCCTGATCACCCGATCCCGTTAGTCGCCTCTTACGGTGAGGTGAGGTGAAATGGGGTTTAATATCGCACTTGAGAATATTTCGCCCATATGACGACGTGCATGCGTGTGTATGTATGGGTGCTTGTACTAGCCCAGGCATGAGCTGGTTTTATCGTGCTAGCCCACTGAGATAACATGCCGCAGTGAAGCATGAATACCCCACTCAGACACATTATACTGACTCCGAGCCGACCAATCCTTGTTGTACCCATTAATGCCGAGCGCCAGGCAGGGACCAACAAGTACCATATTTTAACGTCTTTTGGTTTGACGCGGTCGGGGATCGAAGCCGCGACCTTCCGCTCTCCGGCCTGGCCTCTCACGGCAAGCATGGGTTGCTTAAGACCAATTCTAAGTATTTCGAGGTAATTCCAGTAAAATCCGATTCCTATTATTTGTTTTCATGATAAATATTACTAAGTATGATTATAATCTCATGACGCCAAACACTATTCCGTCTTTTAGTGTGTATATACAGAACATTACCGTGGCCATAAATAATTAATTTGAAAAGTTAACATAGTCTAGTAGCTTCCTTAAATATCACGGAATATTTCCGGTATTTTTAAGCGGCATAATAAATGCAAGGAGTCTGTAAGCAAAAACGTTTGAAAAAGGCGCACAACCCGGAACAAGAAACAAACTAATACATTTACATTATATTTTGGGGGAGAATTACACATTCTCCTAAACCCCTTCCGCGCGTATTCAAACAACACAACAGCATTAAAACTTGGACCGGCTGTATTTGTAAAGCGGATCCTTTTACAAGCTTTTGTGTCTGCCTTTTCAATCCTCTTATGATCATCTGACAAATCTTTGGAAACATAGTTGAACACAGTTTTAACTTCTCGATAGCCTCCGTCAAAAGTCAATCTGCGTCCGCCTCAGATATGTGTAAACAATCCAAGACCTCTTTAA